AACCACACATTTCCACCACACATGGATTACAATGTACTCAACGCTCAGCTCACACCGAATTCCTGCATGCATTTATTTACCACATGGGCGGCAATGGTTGGAGAAGACTTGATGTAATTAATTTGACAGTTAGCATCTGAATAGTTGGCTGGTGAGAGTTACACAAGCATTACACTGCTAAAGTAAGACTGCCCTCCCCCCCCCCCCCCCACACACACATTTCAACACAATTTCTGGGAGATTTCCATAACTAACTATAAATTTTACCATGGCACATGAATTGGTACATGTAGTTGGAATTCGAAGTACATGTACTTGATGTCACCGAGACTCACTATACAACGACCCATCACGGGGCTACTACATGGTACATTCAGTATACAGTTAGACATCGCTTATCACCCGCACACATCTGTTTTCCACAAAAAATCCGGATAGGTGAGGGAACCGGATAACCGAACACCGGTTATGTTGGATGCATCACGTATGCCCATCACGGGGCTACTACATGGTACATTCAGTATACAGTCAGACATCGCTTATCACCCGCACACATCTGTTTTCCACAAAAAATCCGGATAGGTGAGGGAACCGGATAACCGAACACCGGTTATGTTGGATGCATCACGTATGCTGTAAATCTGTAACCAGCCAATTTCTTCCGGATGTCGGGGGATCCGGATAAAAGAGGACCGGATAAGCGAGGTCTGACTGTACTGTACTGGCTTGGCTCTTATACAATGCAAGAGTAAATCGAGTACTACAGTTCACCGTAAACTCACACTTTCAAGTGAGTTCTACCGGGTAAAGGTGGTACATGCACCAGAAGGTTGCTGCTCCGAACATTAGGGGCTTGCATGTCCTGCCAACTGACTGACACTTGACTGACTAAAAACGAATGTACAAACTGGAAGGCAAGTGCCAACCTTCCACTAGGCACCCGTAATGTAACAAGCAACAGCAACTCACCGCACTAAAGCAACTTTTCTTGGTAGTTGGTATGCACCAGAGTGCGCAGCAACCTGGGAGCGGAAATCACCGATGGGTGAGGAGCTTGAGGAGTGGGCAGTGCTCTCGCCTCTGCTTACCTCCGCCCTCGCCACCTCCTCCTGCTCATCATCATCGTCATCAGAAACGCTTAACGTTGGTACAATACCTGGTACAGCAGCAGCAGCAACTACTGGTGATACGACACCCAAAACCGGTGGCTTATGGTTTCTAGCAGTGTCTTGTCTGCAATTACCTGATGTGCTGGACAATGCAGCAGCGCTTCGCTGAAGCTTCTGCCGACGTAACACTTTCGCGGCAGGTACTTTGGCCTGAGGCGCATCTGCTCCTGTCGGCGATTTCCCCATCCACCCAGTGGATAACGTTGAGGAATTGTGCGGAAGTCTGGACTCGGCCGCATTCACGATTGTATCTCGCTTGCTCATCTCCAGTGCTTGCTGTGACGGTTACCAGTGGGAGGGGAAAAAGTCAGTGAAGTGTGCAGCAGAGTAGAGAAGAAGAGAAGCAGGGTTAGATTTACGGACAACTGACTGCAGGCATGTTTTTCAACTGCACAGACAGGCGGACAGACAGACAGACTCAGACACACAGACACACAGATACACACACAGACACAGCTATGCTGAGCATATTTTGTAGATACAAGTATACAGTTAACCTGGTGAATAACAACCTCAGGTATACCAGCACCTGGTGAATAACAACCTCAGGCATAACAACACCTGGTCAATAACAACCTCAGGTATACCAGCACCTGGTGAATAACAACCTCAGGCATAACAGCACCTGGCGAATAACAACCTCAGGCATAACAGCACCTGGTGAATAACAACCTCAGGCATAACAGCACCTGGTGAATAACAACCTCAGGTATAACAACACCTGGTGAATAACAACCTCAGGCATAACGGCACCTGGTGAATAACAACCTCAGGTATAACAACACCTGGTGAATAACAACCTCAGGCATAACAACACCTGGTGAATAACAACCTCAGGTATAACAACACCTGGTGAATAACAACCTCAGGTATAACAACACCTGGTGAATAACAACCTCAAGTATAACAACACCTGGTGAATAACAACCTCAGGCATAACAACACCTGGTGAATAACAACCTCAGGCATAACAACACCTGGTGAATAACAACCTCAGGTATAACAACACCTGGTGAATAACAACCTCAGGTATAACAACACCTGGTGAATAACAACCTCAGGCATAACAACCCCTGGTGAATAACAACCTCAGGTATAACAGCACCTGGTCAATAACAACCTCAGGTATAACAGCACCTGGTGAATAACAACCTCAGGTATAACAACACCTGGTGAATAACAACCTCAGGCATAACAGCACCTGGTGAATAACAACCTCAGGTATAACAGCACCTGGTCAATAACAACCTCAGGTATAACAGCACCTGGTGAATAACAACCTCAGGTATAACAACACCTGGTGAATAACAACCTCAGGTATAACAACACCTGGTGAATAACAACCTCAGGCATAACAACCCCTGGTGAATAACAACCTCAGGTATAACAGCACCTGGTCAATAACAACCTCAGGTATAACAACACCTGGTGAATAACAACCTCAGGCATAACAACACCTGGTGAATAACAACCTCAGGTATAACAGCACCTGGTGAATAACAACCTCAGGTATAACAGCACCTGGTGAATAACAACCTCAGGTATAACAGCACCTGGTGAATAACAACCTCAGGTATAACAGCACCTGGTGAATAACAACCTCAGGTATAACAGCACCTGGTGAATAACAACCTCAGGTATAACAGCACCTGGTGAATAACAACCTCAGGTATAACAGCACCTGGTGAATAACAACCTCAGGTATAACAGCACCTGGTGAATAACAACCTCAGGTATAACAGCACCTGGTCAATAACAACCTCAGGTATAACAGCACCTGGTGAATAACAACCTCAGGTATAACAGCACCTGGTGAATAACAACCTCAGGTATAACAGCACCTGGTGAATAACAACCTCAGGCATAACAGCACCTGGTGAATAACAACCTCAGGCATAACAGCACCTGGTGAATAACAACCTCAGGCATAACAGCACCTGGTGAATAACAACCTCAGGCATAACAGCACCTGGTGAATAACAACCTCAGGTATAACAACACATGGCGAATAACGACACAATCTTCAGACTTAGTAGGGAGTTGTTATTGGCAAGGTTGACTGTTACGTATTGTGCTGAGTGCTGTTGCCGTACATGCTGGTGTGGCTATGTATGCAGTTCCAGCATCCAGTGTCTGTGCATCGTGTTTGTAATGCCGCAGATTTGCCACGGATGCTCGTGATGAGAGCACTCCTATGCGGCACGTTACGCAGTGCAAATGGGCCTTTCCGAGCTCACGTCGGTCCCAATCTGGCCGGGCGTAGGCCTATCGTGTTGCACAAGGGAGGACAACCATAACAGAATATACCAGTAATACAGCTATGGGCTAGCCATGTCGTAGTTACTGAATAGAGAGGTTCCGGGGTACGATTTTCCGTGCCAAAATCCGTATGGGCGCTACGGATTTTTTTCAGGGGTGCTTCATACGATTTTTCGGCACGGAGAATCCGTGTGGACTGGCTTTCATACGAACCATGTTTCGTATGGAGATTTTGCGTCATCGGGTGCAGAAAGATTTTTCGCGTACAAATTTGGCACGAGAAACATCGATTTTCCACGGGAAGTTTTGATTTCGGTACAAATTTTCAAAGTATAAAGGCATAGCGCGGGAATGTGACGTGTTTGCGATCGTAACCTAGGCAATGACGGCAAACACATAAGTTCCGTACTCCGGAACATTTCACTGCTCGAAAACGACGTATAAAAAATCCGTAGAGCCTCTACGGATTTTGGCACGAAAAATCGTACTCCGGAACCTCCCTATTACCTGCTGGCACCTGTCAACATTGGTGTGAACTAGAATTACCGGTAAGTATGTAGGTCCGTTGTTTCAAAAGTGCTTGGATATGTTTTCCTCCAACTAACTCGCTGATTTATAGTATTACATTGCATCGCTACACTGAACAGCACATTCACACTCTCACCTGAAGTTGAGACTCTTCGTCATCATTCTGACTGTCGGAATACGTCTTGCGACTGATATCCATAGCTCTCTGTAGTTAGAGAAGAGGCATGGACAAGAACAACAGCAACAACAAGAACAAGAACAACAGCAGCAGCAACGACAATAACAGCAACAGCAACAACAACAGCAACGAGTTAGAGCTAGAAATTTCCGAACAAGATAGACTTCCAGTTTTGAGAAGAACTTGTGTCGGACTCGGTAATCACATAATATTACTAGTACAGTTGTGGCAAGTGAAATCCGACAATTGCCATAGGGGACAGCGCCACAAATGGACACCCATGATGTAATGCACTGCACCTAATTTATACTATAGTATAGAGCCGTATGCATCCCAAACAGATCGAAAGGTCACAGCGTAGATACACACAGTTCAAAAACATGGTACACATACGGAGTATTGGTATCCAATCCCCATTCATTTTTGCCAGCACCTTTTAAACCTCGACTGTGATGAGTACGAGTTTTGTCATCAGACAGATGAAGTTGTATGAAACAAATGAACTGTACGTAAGCAGGGCTGCAGGGGCTGCAGACTTCATGGTGCAGTCCCTTATGCCAAGTGTCGGATTTCACTTGCCACAACTGTACATGTATATTAGTTTCTCTTCCACTCTGTCAAGCAGAAAAAACAGCTGTCTGGATGGACAGGCAATACTACAGTGCTCAGCTGCTCAATGAAATCCGGTCCCGTGAGTCAAGTTTGCGCCATGCACCAGTTCACAGCCCAGTCTTCGCAGGTCTAGGGCTGTGCAAATGCCCGGCGCGCACTTGAGTGACTCGACTGGATTTCATTGAGCAGCACTGTAGCATCAGTAGTGAAACAGACTTGTCCAGTTGTCCTTCGCCTGCTTTGGTGGTGATGTGCAAAAGCGGTGGGTCAGGCAAGAGTCCAGTGTGGAGGGTGGATGCGGTCAGGCAAGAGTCCAGTGTGGCGGGTGGATGCGGTCAGGCAAGAGTCCAGTGTGGAGGGTGGATGCGGTCAGGCAAGAGTCCAGTGTGGAGGGTGGATGCGGTCAGGCAAGAGTCCAGTGTGGAGGGTGGATGCGGTCAGGCAAGAGTCCAGTGTGGAGGGTGGATGCGGTCAGGCAAGAGTCCAGTGTTGAGGGTGGATGCGGTCAGGCAAGAGTCCAGTGTGGAGGGTGGATGTGGTTGGCTAAACATGCCCTACCTAATAAGAGGTAGACACCACAATGTATTTGTGTCACCAAGATCAGCAGAAGAGTGTGCTCAACGAATTTTATTTATTATTATTTATTCACTCAACATCTCCTGGGTCGTCGTAAGACTGCCAATATTTATGAGAAACCTACCAGCATCTGGCGACCAAGCTCAGGAAACAATACATGCCTGAGTAGTGACTGCTGAACATGCCAAACACATAGAGCGCTGAGCCTCTTCGCTAGCAGCACTGCACTGTGAAGAGCAACAGGAGTTGCACAATGCCATCCGCCTGACTAAGCTATACCGTAACGTTAGTATGCATACAGCATTACTCCGCAAAATGTCAGTCTTTTCGAGAAAAGATCAATTGCCAGCCTACACTCTGTGACAAGAAAATTCGCTTTAGGGACAGTGCATAGGGACAGTGCAACAGTGCTCTTAAAAGTAGCGCCGCAGCACCTTTTCCAAAGAAAAAACTTTAAAGTAAAGGACACGCACGCATGTGACTGCTGCCACAGAGCACAAGAAACCTACTTGCAGCTGAGCGTGCTCCTGATCCTCATCCTGAAAGTCGTACGGGTCAGCTAAAAAAAAAAAAAAACAGGTACAAAGTCAAAAATTGGCTCGAGTGCTGGTGGTGACAGTCAATCTTTCCTTCAACCATATCTCCTTTTCAAACTGATAAAAAGTATTTCACAACACGCACACACAGGTAATGGTAGATTCTGGTGGAATAGCTTATCTAGAATGCATAAAACATCGCCATTATCACTAGCAATCCAACCACTGATAGCAAACAACCAGGACATACAGCAAATAGCAAGAGGAAGTTTGGCTATGGCAACAGCAGCAAGGCGACCACTATCAACACCGATGGAAATGCTGGTACAGTGAACAGGGGTGTCACGGGGCAGTGGGGAATGGTACGACCGGGGGTTCAGGGTTCCCCGGGGGGAAATCGGATTTTATGCCAACAGGGCACGTTTTAGCGCTCTACAGGCGTTCTGGTTGGACTATCCTAGGCTAAAAGTGGTACAGTGGAGATTGGATGTAACGACACTCATTCGGGAGAAAGCAAAATGTCGCTATATTCGATCTGTCACTAAACCCGATCTTCACATTTAGTATGCAATATGTATATCAAAATGACAGAAATGTATTGTAGATATACATGTACATGTACATGTGGATAACAGATATGTATGTACATATGTCTTGCATGCATTGTTCAAGGGCGGTAAAGTCACCCTACACCGCCTGCACTGCGGCTACAACGTGCAATATAAAGCACACAGTGACCTGGAGGTCCGGGCACGTGGCACAGCCATGTACCATGCTCCAGACATGCCACGCGCCAGTCTGCCTGATACAAGAGGAAAGTCGTTATATCCGATGTATTTTCACTGTTTTTCAGGTCTTCGGGCACCAACAAAGTGTCAGTAAATTCGATCTGTCGTTATTTTTGAGGTCGTTATACCCGATCTATAAGGTACAGAAAGGACTTGCTAAACGACTTGGGCAACAGAATTGTGTCGCTAAACTCGATTTGTCGTTATACCCAAGGTCGTTATATCCAATCTCCACTGTACGACCATGGTCATACTACTGATTGTACCGTGTGTGTGTGTGTGTGTGTGACGCCCCTGAGTGAAGTTCAGTACTGTATATTCGAGGTAAAATGACTGGCATGGCATGGTATTTAATGTAGGGTGCTTCGAGATAGAAATAATTAATCGGAGAGCCTGACCACCATGGTACTAAGAGCCACAGACATCAAGACAGCCCGATGTACTGGTACCGAGAGTGATCCAACTATGACTCATACAGGGCTAGCCATTTACCGGTACATGCACACATTTGTCGCCAACCACCACACCATAATTGCGCTCTCCAGCCGACCTCGACACGTTGCCACAGCACACCACCAGCAAAGAGACACATCCGCTGGTACTGAATTCCTTCATACAGCTGTTTTCGAGTACAAAACTCTCGTCAGTGAAGGTAGATATTGTAGAATGTACAATATGTACAGGGCCGAATGTTGCTAGAGAACCCCTTTTATAATTATAGCATGCACACATTATCAAAAGAATTGCATGCACAGATTTCTCACCGCGAATGTCATCGTCACTGACGACCACCTCCTCCTGTGGAAGCACACAAGAGCAAAGTACATACACATTGTCCCAAAAGTCACATGCCACAACCTGCAGCTAGTACTGCACACACACTTACCCCCCCCCCCCCCCCCCCCCACAGTATCAGTACCCTACTCTGGGGCGTAGGAGGGGTTTTGGAAGTGGTACGACCGAAGGTCGGCGCGGCCGAAGGTCGGCGCGGCCGAAGGCCGTGTTGGACGGGGGGGGGGGTGGTCGGGGGGACCTCCCCCGGGAAAATTTTGCAAAAAAGACACAAAATCCTGCGTTCTGGGAACTTCTGGCACACTGACTGTGCTGTGCAGTGAAGTCGAGTACAGTACTCAGTACGACTGCAGGTGCATGGCAGATAGACGAGTACGAGTCTAGAAAAAGGTCAAAGTCTGATGCGCATATGCATATGCATCGATGGATCCTGATTTTTTTATTACGATTTTGCACGTTCCGGACGGACCACACTTTTCGAAAGTGGTACGGCCATGGTCGTACCAGTCGTAGCGGGTGCTACGCCCCTGCTACTACAGTGGAGATTGGATATAACGACACTCTTTCGGGAGAAAGCAAAATGTCGCTATATTCGATCTGTCACTGAACCCGATCTTCACATTTAGTATGCAATAGTATGCAATATGTATATCAAAATGACAGAAATGTATTGTAGATATACATGATTGTACATGTACATGATTATGTACATGTGGATAACAGATGTGTATGATTGTACAGTCATGTGTCTTGCATGCATTGTTCAAGGTAAAGTCATCCCGCACCGCTGCACTGCGGCTACAACGTGCCATGTAAAGCACACATGAGTGACCCGGAGGTCCGGGCACGTGGCACAGCCATAATAATACCATGTTCCAGACATGCCAGCCTGCCTGATACAAGAGGAAAGTCGTTATATCCGATGTATTTTCACTGTTTTTCAGGTCTTCGGGCGCCAACAAAGTGTCAGTAAATTCGATCTGTCGTTATTTTCGAGGTCGTTATACCCGATCTATAATGTACAGAAAGGACTTGCTAAACGACTTGGGCAACTGAATTGTGTTGCTAAACTCGATTTATCGTTATACCCAAGGTCGTTATATCCAATCTCCACTGTACCTTGAGTGCAACACTAAACTGGCCATGCAGTGGAAAACTATGGACCAAAATAAAATAGCATTAACATTAATACTGGCTCAGCGGAGTCAGCCCCTTACAAACTTCAGAAAAAATGTCCGGAAATGACAAAAAAACAGAAAAACAAAAAAACATAGCTGAGCTTGCAGGAGTACCGCCCAGTAAGCACGAGCATTCACAGCCACTAGTGCGAGTGTGATGCATGCTACCGTGTATCACCTGCTAATGATGTTCACATTGTGATGATGTAGAAAGTAGACAGGTCACTAACACCTGTTCAATCTAATATCTGTTGCTACGGAAACAAGTGAGTAGCACCAAAGTAACTAGTCTTATATTTATGGGTTTGAAAAATGATACATTTTAATTTATAGTAAAGAAAAAAAGGACCGAGAAACTACAAGTTACACTATAATGTCCACTAACACCACCAGTTACTAAACAATCAGCTCATGCGATAACATTGCACGACACTGACCGATGGTACTGATGTTCTACAACTAACTGGCTAACAGCTCTAGCACACCTTGGATGCGCACTCCAACAGCCTTCCAACTTGGAAGGTTCTAAGTTTAATATAGAAATAACATAATAACATACATTTTAATCCTATTTTTTACTTTATTTCAGTGGAAAATAGCTGCGCCAACGATGCATTTGGATATCGCACACTGCCCAATGCTTGCGTCACTAAGTTTTTCACAATTTCCCGTAACCAGAGAGTTTCGGATGGCAAATGTTCGCGGAGCACTTTGGCCACATACATTTATACCCACTGTTGAAGTTTGACTTCACGCTGGTTAATATTTGCATCATGCTCTGTTCGATAAAATAGCGAACATGAATGCGTCGCAAACCATAACCAGTATACGTTTGCCAAAAAGTATTGCGTCCAGGGAAAATCGTCAACATCAAGGGAGCCGGGGCGTATTGTCAAGGGACCTCAAGCCTCCGGGTTGCTATGTAGCCGTAGTAATGCACATATAGGCGCATGTGCCTGTATTCGGATATAAGCGCACTTCTCACTTATAAGCGCATGCGTTTATAGGCGAAGCACTACCAATGGATGCAGCTAATGGGGTCGTTTTCGGCACTTGTGCCAGTGGTTGTGAGACTTGCCCACTCACCCCCACCGTTAGGCGCTGCATCTGCCGCTAGGGTTTATCGGGTGTTAGCGGCCGTCGTGAGTTCCCTTCGGGAACGGATACGATAATTTACTTCTTTTTTTTACTACCAAAATTATCATTTTGACACAATCACGGATAAAAGTCTGCAAACAGCATACAGGAATCATGAAACTGACACTACAAGACCTAATCAAACACAAAGATCTGGCAAACGAACTCTGACCGCGCATGCGCGTTTAGGTGAAAAAAATTCATTTTTGAAAATTGGATTCGTAGCAAAACTTCACTTATAAGCGCATGTGCTTATATGTGCGTTATTACGGTAGTAAAGATGAACACACATTGTATACCAGACCTACAGAAAGCTTTTCCTGGCCTATACAGTCATGTAATTATAATTTCAACAACAAAAAAGAGAGAAAAAAGTGCTGCACATGCACAGCCAACTCCCCTTTCTCCTGAACATTGACTGTATGAACAGTTCGACCCAGCAACTGTGCATATACGGAGAAATCCCATTTCCGTCAACTCATCAATCAAAATTATAATTTGAGACGAAAGAACAAAGTATTTTCCAATTTTCACTCCAGTCACCTGATAGCTCTTTGGTGGTAGTCGCCGCGATGGCCTGCCCCGATATCCATCCATCTCAGATGAATTGATACTAGAAACTGACTGAAGCTCCTTCTGCTGATTCGCAAGAAATTAAATTTGACTTCTGGCTGACATGTGTGCCAATGAGAAAACTACTGCCTGGCTAAATGGCAACAAGACTGCAGGTGTCTGCTGCCTTTCCTGTTTGTTGGATGAGTGTGCTTTGAATGTCTGTTTATATCTGCCGCGCCGCCGGGAAGGCGTCAAGCTCACGAGTCGACGTCACATGTACCTGTGAGTGTGAGGCTGTGTAGTGTGTACATGGTGTACACAGTCCGTGCGCCAAGGCCCTTGAGAGACCGATTTTCATTTTCTCGCGGGAATCGTAGCCTCCAAGGCGCCGCACCTGCGGGCTTGTTTTCTGTTGATTTCGCCTATCTCCGAATGGTGAATATTTCAATGAAATTTGCTGCTTAGAGCCCTTCTAGTCTCGTCAGGAGACCTTTCCTACACTGGAGAGATGGCTCGGAGTGATGTAGACACCTATGGCCGTACCCTGGAAAATTATTTTGGAGCTTGCAGTTCGTGAGCAGCCACCAAGGACGAATGTCTCATTTTTGTAATTGCTGAAACGAGGAATATGGTCACCAATTTCACACCAGGTAAGGCATTTACCCATCGCGGACACTAAAGCCGCTTTGTGGGGTGATAGACCAAAGCTTTATCTTTCGAATGCACGAGAAATTAGAGTGATACCTATGTGCCCCACAATTGCACCCGAAATAAACCACGCACAGGCAATATTGTGATTTTGTGAGAAGAGACAATTGAGCATGCTCTAAATCGTCATGACCTGTTGTGTTACTTTTCAAACACCACTCCAAGTGAGCATCTACCAATCCTTTATCAATTTTACAGGGACACTTGAGCTTAGGGGATAGAGGTGGGATATTTCACCAGCTGAAGTACTAGATTTTTTTTCTGAATTTGTTGACTACTAGGTTGCATAGTGTAAATATGTCAGTATTATGTGCATTATTGTGGTGAAATTCTGAGCATCTAATTATAATAGGCACAACAGCACTGGTGCATGCCCTCTCCTAGATCCTTCTCTCTGACTTATTAATTTTCTTGCATTGCACGACTCAAATTCGTCGAATGAAATGAAGGAGTAAATTTGTTGCTGCCAATTAACTGCATCAATTAACTGCATCAGTTCTGTTTTCCTCTGCTGTTCTTCTTTCAGTGTGGTGACTTCTGATCCATGAGGCGATGGCATGAAGTCAATAGTTTGCAGTATGTGCAATATGCGGCAGTCTCTCTGTCAATGGACCTGTGACAGCTGAAGCCCAGATGTTGCAGTTTGATGTCTATGGCCAGCAGCAATCTAATGTTGTTGCACCTTTCCTTCCACACACAGCAATGCGGAATATGTCATGGACAGACATTGCTAAACTGCCTCTTTCGAAGAAGAATCGCAATTCTTGTCTGCCAATAAACAACAGACTAGCCAGCTATAATTACAATTTGGAGGTCGGAGACGCGATCCCGTGAACGTATTGCGCCAACTGCAATGAAGAAGGCCTTAGTGATCTGGATTTATTACCATTCTCGTGTGGATAACTATGGCGTTGTGATCCAAGTCATGCAGACTATAAAATGCCTTAGACGTGAGATAGTGAAGGCATTGCCGACAGCAAGCCAACAGTGGATATGAACCACGCCACCAGCATCATTCTGCACACCAGGAGAATCCAATACATATAGCTGCCAACTCTGATGGTATAGACCCGATAACTTGTTTTCTTACTCTAAGATTGGTATACAATTATACATGTACTAGTGCAATCTCTATCCATATGCGTAATGCACTGTATTTGTTTCCGGTGACTGGAGGTAGTTTATCATAGCACTGTTTTATGTCCTGGTTTTGTTGAAGATAAGCATTATCCACTTAACTTGCTAGGTACCGTATCAGTCAGCTCTTTTAGCATTTGGCTTTGTGTCAGGGGTGGTTGGCGGTGTCGCGGGTCATTCCACAGTCCGCAAAGTTGACGTTCTCGGCAACGGAGCGACCCAGTAGGCAATTGATCACCGATAAATATACTGTCATTGGTATCACGGTGCACCACAATGGCATATGGTGTGAATATCATTATGTTATTCTGCAGCGAGTCCTTGTCGTGTAGCTTGCGAAAGTTATTGCATACTGTCATTACGTGGATAATGCATAGTACTGTCTGTACACTCAAGTAACTTTCAAGTCTAGTCCATTTTTGGAAATATGGGCTGGACACTAACGAGGGCCTGGTGACGTGTTCATAGGGCTGAGTTATGCCAAATGGTGCCATTGGCTGGGAGTGAAAGCCTTGCCCCACGCCTGCACCCTAAAAAATGTTTCGAAAATACTCAAATTCGACGACGGCTGAGAATCTAGGAAGATGCCGGACCACAGCGAAACAAGTCATCTGGCTGAAAAACGGAATACACCATTACGTTGCCACGGCTAAGCGCAATTTTTAGGCTCACCACACAGGTAGCGAAATGCCAAAACAAACGAGCCATAGACACAAAACCATTTTCCAAAATTGTCCACCATTGAGAATGCGACTCAAAAAGTACCCGCAAACTGCCCAGTGCGGAAAATGAAAAGTCAACTTTTAGACGACTTTTTTGAATCTGGCGCACGGACTGTACAGCTACAGCCAGCCTTCGCACATCTTCAAATTTTCAATGCACTGAATTATTTTCAGCTGGAAAGAATTGGGGTTGCTTGAGACGAGATTGTTTTCGATGGGGAGAACAACATGTTAGCCTTGTAATAATAGTGTACCAGAGTCTAAGAAGAATTCTGTATGTTTCGTTCGCCTCGCCTCCTGTCCACTGCCCGGCTGTGCAGGAGCGGTCAGCATCCTGTACGTACTTTAGTATCTTGATCCCCTTCTCTGGGTTTGAAAAACGTAAACGTTTGTTCTATGTACATCTGCACTTCTCGTTCTCCCTATTGACTTCGTGCAGGCCGGACCGGGACGATTTCAAGCATGTCGAAGACAGTCAGGGTACGACATAGTGATAGAAACTACGAACCCTGGTATTTGATAATGATGATATTGAGGGTGCTGGCAGTTGATCCATAATTATTCACAAGATCTTTAAACTTCAGTTACTGTGTGCTTGCAAGTACATAGTGTGCAGTAGGCCTAATGTGCAGTTAATGATATTGGATCGTGTGCTTGCATTTGGAAAGCACGTGGATACTGTATAATAGAGAGAGGTTAGGCTGCACGTTGTGTTGACGTGACGCAAAAGGTCCGCTCGCGTTATTTGGCTCGTGTGTTGGAAAACAACTCGGGAGAGCTGCATCTCACGTTGAAATTTGGCGTATTACGCCAAATTTCGACCCATTTGACATGAAATTGTGCATCACGTGAAAAATCAACGTGCGCAGCTTAACCTCTCTACTGCGAACTGATGAAGTTGAAGTCTCTCTTGTGGTACGGGAAACTTCATTAACCTTCTTCTATTCACTGTCAGAATGTGAATGAACGCCGTCAAGTGGTCTGGCTGCTGAAGCTTTCCGCTTATTTTGTGGTTCATGCATTTGTTGTGTCGATGCACAGCCAACCTAATTACGGACCATCTGGAGATAGTGAACTCCGGTATTCTCGGTACGTACGTGTGCAGACTACTCCAGCTATACTGTATTTGTCAGTGTGTCGTGCACCCACACACACACACATCATATTTTGGAACATACAAGATGCATTGGGCAAATACATTCTCATACTACAGTGCTGCTCAATGAAATCCAATCGATGCACTCATGTACGCGCCGGGCGTTGCGCAGCCCTAGACCTGCGAACACTGGGCTTACAGTCCATTCATAAAAAAATGGGTCCTGGCTCTGGCGAGCTCCCGTATTTGGCGATTTTTCGTGATTTCATCGTACACAGTGCAGTGCTGCGAACTTTGAAATTTGAAAAAGGGTCCAAAAAGGGTGCCTGAACTGGGGTTCGAACCGCAGAATGCACTGTTGCAGGCGGGGTCAAACGGCCTGGATTTTGATGGTTTTTCCCAATTCAGTGCTTTTGGGGCAAAACCTGGCCGAAATCCTATTCTTGCTATGGCTTGCTTTTTGGACAAAAAAACTTCAGAAACATAATTGGAAGAGGATTCCATATGGGATTGCAGAAAAAAATTCTAAAAAAACTCAACGTTTGACCCATTTATGGCCAAAAGCTAGAAGTTCATTTTTTTCTGAATGGACTGTAGACATGGTGCAAGGCGCAAACTTGAGTGTCGCGACTGGATTTCATTGAACAGGACTGTAGTAATCAAAGTGTAGTGCACACCTGGGATTTCCTGCCTAAGATATTGCGTACGTAGTGTATCATGCAGGTGCGTCGGAACCGGTGCGGCAGGTGCGGCTTTATTTGAAGCAAAAGAACACGAGCTATTCGGGCCCAATTTTCCAAAAAATATTCCCGGGGAATCCCCTACCTCTTCATGGCCGCACCAATGTCGAATAACCTTCCGACGCCCCTGGCATCCACAATGAGCATCCACAAGTCTTCACATCGCACACACATCTTTGCATTTTTATCATTCATCAACTGCTTCTTACATGTCCTGGCAGTAACATTGTCTATTCGATTTTGGTAAAGATAGCAAGGTTTGTGGATTTAAGTAAATGCTCTTGCATCCACGTTTTGAAGCTACTTGACTGCGCTGATGCGTGCTTGCTTGTGGTCTGCTTTGCGTATGTCGTTTCTAACAGGTCTGCGGCCGTGGGTCTGATTTCTGCTACTTCCGCTGCGAGTCTGCTGGGGGTCCTCTGCTTGGCAAAGTGGTCGCCAAAGTTTCGGAAATGGTGTGAAGACACAGTTCCGGGCAGCAAATCCTTATTCAGTACAGCATTGAAAGACCGTTCGAAGAAGGAAATTTCTCGCAGCAATGCAGCGCCCAAGGTAGGGTTACCAGTAACACAAAGGAAAAAAAACCCATAGTTTGAGCTATATTCTAAGCACTTATGTGTGTACAGGTAGTTGTACCGTAAAGTACCGTTGATCTGCCCCCCCCCCCCCCCACGCCATGTCGCTTCCCAGCTGGTTTTTCGGCAGGGGGCGGGAATTAGATCAAGGCTGTCAAGTGCAGTACGATGTACAACAACTTGGAGGATCAGGCTCGATGTGCTAAATTGTGCACATTTTCATCCTGGATTGGCACATATTGTGTACAGCAGTACAAGCGTCGGTTCAACATCGTATTTCGTTGTATACGACGAGATCGCTTCACAGGTAGAAAATCGACAGGAGGCGGGAATTAGAGAGGGGGCGGATCAACGGTACTTTACGGTACTTCATTGGGTAGCTACTGTAAATGCTAACCTGTCTGACCAAATGTCGGGCATTTCTAGTATTATTTTTAAAAACGTCTCTATTTTATGGTTGAGTTTCGATATATTCTTTTTATCATCATTTTATGTGACCTGTGTGTGTGTGTTTGTGTGTGCGTGTCTGTGTGTGTGTGTGTGTGTGTGTGTGTGTGTGTGTGTGTGTATGTATATGTGTGTGTGTGTATATATGTGTGTATTCTTGTACTTAACCGTAGAAGCCAGCTGGTGCTTTGTCGGGCAGTGCATCGTCTGCAGCAGGAAGTGCTGGTAGCCTTAGCGCCGCTGGGTCTGACAGTGCATCGCAGAATCCTGTGAATGCTGGCACTGGAGATGGCCCTAGCAGCAGCAGCAGCAGTGAAATAGAGGACAGTGCTCTACTTGCACAGCGTATTAAAGAGCAGGATGAACTCGAGGAGGCCCTGCGCATTGCTGTGCTAGAAGAAGAGCGCCGTGTACAGGAAGCTGCCCGTTTGGAAGCCGAACACGAGGGCCAGAGGCAACGAATCGAACAGGAGGCACATCAGCTTCTTGAACAGTCTGTCAAGGAAGCTGAGGAGCGGATACGTGCTGAGGAGGCTGGCCGTGCGCAGGCTCTGCAGGAACTTGCTCAACAAGAGAAGGACGCAGCTCAGTCTGTGACACGCAGCTTGGACACATCTCTCCAGGAGATCCTGTCCTCCGTTGGTGATGCCAGCAAAGCAATGTACTCGCTCGCCAAGGCAATTCGTGAACATTCTCTGTCCGTATACAAAGTGATAGAGTTGCGTGCAGCCCACCGCGATGCTGAAGCCGCGACAGCGGAGGCTGAAGTGCGGGATGCAATTGCATCTGTTCAGGCCGCCCAGCTGCAGGTGGATCACTGCTCCACTACGGTCGATGGTGCCGTGTCAGACTTTGATTCGTTCTGCCGCGTGGCCTGGAAAGGTGACGATGGGAAGAATGCATCTGCGCTGGCTGACGTTGCCAACCAAGCTCTCAAGCAGTTGCACGATACCGCCGAGGAAGTGGCCATGTGCCGTGCTGATCAAAGTGTCATGATGCAGTTTGGTGACCGCATGGCACAGCAGTGTGAATTCTACAATAAGGAGATGGAGCGACTAAATGATATACGCTATTCATCTAGTGGTAAGTGTTGCACTGGCAAGCTGCTCTCTATATACAGACTGTACTTGTTTTCTATGAGAGGGAAGTGTCCTGTTTATGCATACTCTTCAGTGGGCATGTATAGGTTGAAAAATGGTTAATGCGGCTTAGTAGACTCGAACGAAGATTAACTCCCAATCTGCTCAAGAAATTTCTCTATTGACTCAAATTGCTGTGGCGGGATATTCACCACTCCATAATAAACACACTTTAAGACTGCAAGGCTTGTAAAGTGTGTCAAGGGTTCAACCTTCAGCTTGTCAAGGATAAACACAAATGGAGAATTTCGGCTTGAACCTGCCGAGAGCATAGCAGATCTACTTCAGGAGAATGTTCTCTTGGTTTCAGGTGTGCGTGACTCATTGGCAGATTCTGATTCCACTTGGTAAAACGTGTGGCCGAGCTGGCAGTATGCCTGCACCCTGCTGTGCACCCCCTTCCCCGGCATGTTTAGAAGTACATTGTTTACGTGTGCTGTGCCTAATCCTGCTGCTGCTGCTGCTCTTGTTGCTGCTGCTGCTGCGGTTTAGAAATGTCAGCTGGCGATGCATTGTCGGCTGCACAGTCAGTATTCAACTCCGACATCCAGTCACTGCTATCATTTGCTCAGCAGCGTGTTGAGTCCATGCAAGATAGCCTGGCCAGTGGCCAGCAGCAGGACGCCGAAGCTGTCTCCTCACTGCTGCTACAACAGCGCCAAGAGGATATGCAGGTGGCTCAGTTGAAACTTGACCATCTGCGTGAGCAGCTTGCGCGGGAGCATCAAGAGGATCTGCAGCAGCAGGTATGACATTTGTGTGTGCGAGGTGTGGTGCGAGTGTACGCATCACACTGGGCGAACAATAAAAATTAACAGTCTTTGGTCCATCAATTTTGGGGAATGTGTCTTCCGCCAAGTATCGCCAGAGTGCCCAGGCTCTTCGATCCCTTTCGGTGGTGTGATCACAGTGTTGGTACTGGTGAGAGATCTCTCTACACTGCTGTACAACATGAGTCCAAGTCAAGTCACGTGTACATGCATGCATGCTGTGACCGTACTCTTGGGCTCGACTCTCTACCTTGACTTTTTATAGGTATAAAAAAAGGTGTGACGTGCACTTGCAAAACGTTCCTACACCGTGGTATGCTATCGCAGATCATGTGGTATTGCAGACAGCAATGAAGCTGGCCGCTTGGGAAGAGAGACTGGCGGGATGCTACGCTACCCGTGTTGAGAAGCTTGTGATACGATATTGCTGCTTGTGCTAGCCAAGCTTTGCTTCGTGTTATCTCACTCATTATCAAGTTCCGGCTTGGTGGTTGGCTTGTGTTGAACACGTGTTTATCTCAGACTCTCTTTCTTCTTGCGTGTCTGTGTGGTTGTGTGCAGGAGGTGCAACTCAAGGTTGATATCGAGAGCGAGGTGACCAGGCAACTGCAACGCCAAGCTGCTGCGCATACAGACCACCTTCGGCAGGCGCTGGAGCGGCAGGCCAACGAGATCGGTCAGAAGTACAGGACTCTCGTCGAGAATGCCCTCAAGGATCAAACTGATGAATACCAGCAGACCTATCACCGGCTTGCAGGCAGCATGAAGGTAAGTTACAGTGGTGTGTCTGTCATCTACCTGATGAGTTCTGTGCATTTGGGCAGGAGAACAGGGACCGTGGCGTTGTCCTACTTGTCTTTAGTTACCATGAGGGTCGGATAAGCAACATGTGGCTTTTCGAATTCCGAGTTCACGTAGCACTAGAACTGTTGTAGGGAGGGATGGTGTTGAATCGTCGTGTTGGTGCTCCTCAGGCTACCTTTTCTCATAATAGCAGCCAGAACCTACATTCATTGAGTCTTGTTTCTGCACTTTAGTACAGTCGCATGCGGCCAATTGAACTGAACGAAATAGGATACTGCGCTAGAGTGGATATTGTTCTAGCGCTTTATGGTTTGCATCAGTTGGGGAGCTATAGATCCCGATGAAGAGCAGTCCAGTCTTGTCAAGCTGAACAGGTGTTCATGTATTGGTTGACAGGTTCAAAGGTTTCTCGTGGTATACTAGTACATGCACATGTAGAGTGATTGCAAAACAGTCATGTAGTAGATCAGCGTGCAGCCCCCCCACCCCCCCCCCCCCCCACACACACACACACCACATCGCCCTTCTTTGATTTTTGCCTTAGCTGACCACCTGCTATTTGAAGAGCATGCTGGTGCATCGTGAAACCTGGTGTGTTTTGCGTGCGCATTTCCGCAGAGAGTTTGGAAAAGTGAGAATAGTGTGGTATATTCAGCTGATATCGTACCATGCATGAGGCAATTGGTTCGCGCGATCAATGGTTTTTGGATGAGCGAAATAACCGATACCCGGCTGTACCTCAGAACAAAGAATAACTGGATATGAATGATGTGCACAGCGATGCTTGATTGTAAATAAAGAAAATACCACCAAAATGTAACTCATTGTCCTGGTGATTGCACATGAGTATGAAACTCTGTGTTGCAACTACCGTATTTTCCGGAGTATAGTGCGCACTTTAGATGTGCTATTTTAGGCCCTAAATCGCAGGTGCGCACTATGCTCCGAATATGAAATGCATGTACTTCAATGAAGTACATGCACCGCACCGCGACTGAAGATGGGGGGGGGGGGGGTGGGTGCGCGTTATACAAAGGTGCGCACTATACTCTGGAAAATACGGTATTTCCGAATGGTCTTTCATCTTCTACAGTGTATGTGTAATATTTGAATAATCACGTTTGTATCCTGGTCGTGACAGTCAATTTTTTTCTTCAGACTTCCCGCTTGCATCTTTCCCTCAAACCAGTGACTGATCACGTGTGGGTGACTATTTGCTTGCAGGGTCTCGAAGCTGCTGCCAGTGATGCAGTGTCGCACATCCAGCAGGGCATGCGTGATGTGGACCTGTGCAAGGCCAGCAGTGCGTTGCTGGTGGCAGTCGACCATGCTGCTAGCGATCGCCAGCCGTTGCGAGCTGTAGTCGAGCGCCTGCGTGGTGCTGCCGGCGATGATGCTCTGATTGAAACCGCCCTGGCCAGCATACCCGAGGAAGCGCTACGCAAGGGCGTGCAGTCAAAGGCGACACTGAAGACACGCTTCGGTACCGTGAAGAACGCCTGTTCTCGGGTGGCATTCGTGGAAGAGAAGACTGATGGCAATGCCGGCATTTTGACCTACACAGTTGCAGGCATGTTCTCCTACCTGTATTGGCCAAGCAGCAACCCAACAGCCGTCGACAAGGCAGTGGATTCATCGCAACTCGACACCGACCAGGTCCTTCAGTTAGCTGAAGAGTGCCTGCAAGATAACAAGCTGGACGACGCTGTCCGACTGGTTAACCAGCTCGGCGGTCAGGCCCGTGTGCTGGCTCAGAGCTGGCTCAATGATGCGCGCCTCTTCCTCAGTACGCAGCAGGCTGCGCAGGTCGTTGGGTCGTGCGCCCTGCTTCGCCTGAACTCCGATCTCGTGCACCAAAGTCCATCTGCTGACGCAGCATCGCAACGTGAGGACTGAGACGTTGCATGACTGACGAGGCGTGTCCATACCTATGACCGCTTGCCATTCGTGTATTACTGATACCGCATAACTACCATTTCTGTAGCTTCTCCTGCTGCTGTACATACGTCTTACGTGTCATAATCATGATGTGCTGCATGTATTTGATTTTTTGAATATTTTTTTGAATACTGATCTAATTTAGCGAGATCTGTTGTTTAGTTTAGTTTTGTTGAGTTGGAATTCGCCACGAGTGTGCCTTTCAACAAGTATTGAGGTATGTGTAAGTCAAACTAACGTGTTACTTTAAGATGCCAGTCAGAGCTGTTCTTGATGGCATGATAAGCGATGATGATACTGTTGACTGTTGTCACTTGTGCATGGCCACACATCATGTCTCTCTTTTTTCTGAGCTCAGTTTCCACTGAATTCGTAGGCAATGCGGACACTGTACATACTTGTACATGTATATGTATAAATCATAATTATCGCTTCTTCTTTTAGTAAAAAAATTCTCCCGTATTTCACATTTGGCTGATTTTGTTGCTGCTGCTATTGCTGTCGTAACCGCCGCCATGTTCTGGATATCACAATATTCATGTTCTTGCATTTTTGCAAGCTCTTCATTATACTTTAAAGTACACATTATGAACTATAGTTGTACTTCACAATAGTCTCCTTGCATTTAGGCACAGTCGCCACTGCACTGATGCTCATGAGGGAGCGTGACATAAAATAGTTATCACACAATTTACACAGTACTAGAGAAGACGGTGATGCGTTGAGATGATGTTTCTGTGCGCGTTTGATACTTGGGCAAGTTGGCTAGCCGCACACCATGGTACAGACCAGGGAGTATTGTGCTACTCCCAGGTACAGGCACTTGCATCAGAGGGCTTTTTCAAGAAGTGTTTCGGCCTTTGGTAGAGAACGGCATCATGTGGGATTGTTCGCGTTCATGACTTCCTGTATGGGCAACCAGGAAGTCGTAAACTCCCTGATTCACACACAAGCATAACCTTGATTGCGATATTCCGCTATCCGGTAACCGTGCTATTATAAACACAGTTACCATCAGGAAGTACTGAAGTAGTGTTCCTGGGCAGTATTGGGGAAGTATTACTAGTACCAAGAGTACATAACTACACAGTGTAGTTATGTACTCTTGCTAGTACCAAGAGTACATAACCCCTGGGGTTATGTACTCTTGCTAGTACTTTGTACTACTCCCTGGTTACCATGCAACTACAACTGCAGCCTGGCACCGGGCGGAGCAAGAGTACATAACCCCCCCCCCCCCCATTACCAAGGGGGTTATGTACTCTTGGGCGGAGGCATACCTTCGCCTTTCCATGCCAGTAGGCCATTTGGGTTCTTTTGCTTTTGTGTTTTCAATCTTTCATTTCAATTGAGTATTGCAGAACTGCAGGAACATTGGCAATAGTACATCAGTCACGGTACTACTGCCAGTACTGGGTCTTGTTCATTTACCCTACACTCAGGCTAAAAGTTAAGTTCAGTTGCAAAAGTCTAGGAAAGCCTTACTAGTACTACCAAAATACACTCGAATAGTGGTCTAGGAGCCTACATTCGATTAGACTCGAGAGAAGACTGACAAGCTTCAGACTCCTCGACCGCAAGCAAGATTGAAGCAACTGTTTTTCAAAATGTTCACAAATACTTTTGATGGCTTCTCATCGGGTGGAATACAAGCAAAACGAAACTGAACAAAGCATTATCGAATTTTACCCGGTGACAGAGCCTATAAAGTAGCTGATAGAAACAGCACAAAGAAGACCGTGACTAGTCAGTAACTACTGTAGCCAGAAACAACAAAGTAACATACATAGCGGTTGATACTCCATTTTCATACATGTAGAAGGAATGACCGGGAAAGTAAAGGTGACAGTATAGGTATATTTATAGCGTTAACTTGTAGTTCCTTGGTCCCTTTCTTTTCTATAAACCTAACACTCTTCGCCTGTGCGCTGTTTCCATCACCTCTCTGCTGTATAATTATTATAATTCACTGTGCTTGTTCAGTTTCTTTTTGCAAGTATTCCACCTGAAAAGAAGGCATATTAAAGTGCGTGGATATTATGAAAATGTTGCTTGTGAGGAGCCTGGGGCCCTCCCTAGTCCTGGCTACACCCCTGCAGAATCGATCACTTCTGATGGCCCTCGAAAAACTCGCGATACCCACTCGGTCAGTACGGAGTAGGCCAACAATGGACGGGACATATTAAGGGGGTGCAGGACAATGGCAATGCGCACCAAGTCAGTTGCGCATCTCCGTGGAAACTCATGACAGTCATGTACAATACTGTATAGGGATACTACGGGCTGGAAATATACTCAGTTGCTGGAAAGTGCTGAGAACAAGAAGGAGTCAAGGCGAGGGAGGAGGACTGTCATTTCCTCAGTCTTTTTTTACCAATTGGGTACAAGTAACTGGTTTTCAGTAAAAAGGAGCAGGATGAGAATGAGGAGGGGGAGGGGAAGCAGGAGGAGGAGAAGGAGGGGAAGACGAGGAAGAGAGAGGATAATAGATAGACCGAGACAGAGAGGGTGACACACATACACACCACACACACGGAGTGAGTGTGTGTGTGTGTGTGTGTGTGTGTGTGTGTGTGTGTATATGTGAGAGAGAGAGAGAGAGAGAGAGAGAGAGAGAGAGAGAGAGAGAGAGAGAGAGAGAGAGAGAGAGAGAGAGAGAGAGAGAGAGAGAGAGAGAGAGAGAGAGAGAGAGACTGGTAGGTAGTTAATTAGGTAGTAGTTAGAGACTAGCAACAGGCCTTTTCGGCAGGTTGAAATCACTCGCACGGTACTTTTTGAATTTTTCGAAAAGTTGAGTATTTTTGTCTCCCGAAGGTCCTTGTTTGCCCAGGCGGCATACAGCCATGCCGGACGGCGAACAAGATTCAGTCGTGCCTTCAGGGGGCACAGGTGGTCAGGGCAGCAGTACCCGAAGCAATGAGCTCCTCTCCGCCATGGACGACAAACTCCAGTTTCTTGTGGACGCGCTGCGTGCTGAGGTTGAGGAGAGCAAAGGCAGGGAGGCCCGCTTGCTCTCTCGGATAAGCGACCTTACTGACAGCATTTGCCATCTGAAAGACGAACTGCTTGGTGTCCGCAAACTGGCCCAGATTACTCAAGACGCCAGGCATCCGATTGGGATCAACAAGGCCAAGGAAAACTCGAAAAAATCAAAAAAAATCAAAAAACATGAAAAAAATCAAAATGACCACATGCACAGTGCACTAGTGCTACATCTGCTGATGCCGAGCAAGTTGTCGACATGGAGCCTGACACCCCGAACCCTCCTGCTGATGCAGAGACAAGCAGCAATTTGAGTACAGTCTGTATCGGCTATAGAGTGACCGGATATAAGAATATATCGGCTACAGTGATATTGGTACGAAATATCAAAAGCAAAACGTATTTTGTCCAGTACAAATATCACTATAACCAATATTATCAGATGTAATGATATATCGGATATTATGATGGCAACATAGAATCAAAACATGCATAACACACTACATTATAATCGGCTATAGTGATAACTTTAAAATACATGTTGCAATAATATCAAAGGCCCTATTTTTTTACTTTCTTCACGTTGCTTATTTTGATAGTGACACATGTACATGTACATAACAGAATTTTTTATGGAAATGCGGGCACTGTCAACTATGCAGCATGCTCATTTGTCAAAACGCCATGCTGGAAGTATTCCCTTGCCTTTCATGTGTCGCTCGAAAAAAATCGATCGTATCGCATATAGTGATGCATCGGTTATAGTGATAAAATCACGGAAATCAAAAGGGTACGCTATAGCCGATACAGACTGTACTCCTGAATGCGACAGTGACGGTTTCCGGGAGGTCGTGTCCAAACGAGTTTTGCGGCGGCGGACCACACCCCGGAACCACAGTGACGCATGGAAGCTAGTTGCAGCAGAGCCACCACAGACAAAGCGTGCCGTGGTGTACATTGGTAACCTGAGCACATCCTGCACCGAATCCAGTCTGAAAGAATACATTCAAGTCACAGCAGCTGCTCTTCCCGAGCCACAGTCCATCTCAGTGCTCACGTGCAGTATGTATACCTCTCCACATGGCCGGGTGTCAGCACGAGTAGCCGTGGATGCATCTCTTGTGAATCTCCTGACTGACCCGGAATTCTGGCCCCGGCCACTGTACTGCAGGCCATGGAAGTAACTAGTTTGACGCTGGCCGTAAGCACTCCTCTGCGCACAACGCGGTGGGTCCCAGTGTATCGGAGTCGAGCACCCAGTCAGCTGGCCAGGATGCTGACAATGCAGAGCGGACCATGTCAGTTCTGCAGGCAGCCACCCAGTCAGCTGGCCAGGATGCTGCCAATGGGGTGCGACACCAGCCACCTCCACTGACACCGGCTGTTGGAAAATCTCGCTCTTATGAACGGTCCTCGCCACCAGCCCTCCCGGACAGCAAGAGGCCAGACGGTGCAGAGAGTGAGACAACCTCGGGTGACGGCATGTCCAACACTGAAGACCAGGAAACAACACAGTGTGCTGCGCAAGAGTCTACTTAATGCGAGTCTTTTTAACAAATGCATTTGGGCTACTCAGCAAATTTGGTGATTTTCAGCATGCCCTGAACGCACATAAACCTGATGTTGCGATAGTAACAGAGACTAAGTTCACTCCAGATAAGTGTACCGCCTCAGAGTCTACCATTCCAGGTTACGGAGAGCCCCTGCGGATGGACTGCACTGCTCAGGGTGGAGGCGTTGCCATATGGTGCAAGTCTACTCTCGCAGTTGCACAGATCGACCTCCATGCCACTCCTGTGGACTCTAAGAACGCAGTTCTATGGTGCACCATCCAGTCCCAGTCTGGCAGCGATATCACCCTGGGAGCTGTGTATCGTTCTGGCTCGAGTGGCGACTCTGACGTCTCCCTACTGGAGCACCTAGACCACTGCCTGGATGCCGTTCCACCCTCCGCCCAAGTCATCCTGGCTGGCGACCTCAACGTCCACAGCACTGAGTGGCTTGGTAGCACCAAGACTACCACTGCTGGGCAACGCCTGGAAGAAATATGTGCGACGCACGGACTGATCCAACATGTTGATCAGCCAACAAGAGGAAAGAACACTCTTGACCTCATCCTGTCAAACTTGCCACACCCCGTCACAGTACAGGCATTTCCACCCCTGGGCAAGTCAGACCACTGTGTGATTCTTGCTGAGTTCAGCCCAGTCACGCTCCGTACTGAGCCCGTGTCTCGACGCCGCGTCTGGCGCTACAACCAGGCTGACTGGGGCCGCATGCGTCATTTTATTCGTCAGACAGACTGGCAGCACATTCTTAGCCACCACCCAGAACACGCATGCGTACAACTTACTTCCGCATCCAGGAGGGCATGGATCGCTTCATCCCATCGAAGCATCTGTCAGTCAGAACGTGTGACCCTGTTTGGTGGACTCCTGAATGTAGTACAGCTGTGTCTGCAAGAAACCGTGCTTGGCGACACACCCGTGCACACCCAACTGATCTGCAATTGTCTGATACCTACACTGCAACCAGCCTGAGAGGTTGCCACTGTGCTCCATGCAGCGCAGCAGGCTCATGTATCTTCATTGCGGAACAAGCTGTCGAATGGAAACCTACGTGACAAAGCATGGTGGTCAAACATGAAGCGTGCAGGAGGGCTATCCCGCACATCTGATATTCCTGTCCTAAAGGGGCCCGATGGTCAGCAATGTACCACGGCCTCCTCCAAGGCTGACTGTTTCGCAT